ATTTTTTTTTTAATTTGAAAATCAAGTTTCTGAGAGTTTTCACAGTGCATCAACCTGCATGGAAAACCCCCAACTCTGAAAGAAGTACAATAGAGACTATTTTGTTGTTGGTGGTCAGTCATTTAAGTCATGTTAAACTCTTCATGACCCCATTAAGGAATTTTTTGGCGAAGATACTAGAGTGGTTTATCATTTCCTTCTCTATTTCATTTTACAGATGAAGAAATTGAGACAGACAAGGTTAAGTGACTTGCCCAGAGTCACACAACTAGTAAATATCAGATTTGAACTCAGGAAGATGAGTCTTCTTGGCTCTAGGCCCAGCACTCTATCCGCTGTGCCACCTAGCTACCCCAGAAACTGTTTGGGTAAAGATAAAAGGAAGAGAAAGAGAGGTGATTCCATTGTGAAATTAAATTATAGAACACTCAGCCAGATGAAAGCAATAGATGATTCCTTCTATAACCAGACTCTCCCCCAAGAGGGAAGGAGTACTGAAACCCTCACAGAGGATATAGTGATAGAACTCTCAGGAAGGACTCTGGAATTTATTATTCTGGAGAACTGGTCCCTCCCAGACCTAGAAGAGACTGTATAGTCTTCCTTCCACTTTGCAGGGGTTAGGGGTGTGGTGCCCCCATGATCGGAAAATCCAGGTAAAAATTTTTGACCCTCCCTTCATACAGGAGAAGAAGTCTTCTGGCTTCACGGCTTTCCTTCTCTTTTTTCTTGATATTATATAATACTATACACATATTTTATGCATTTATGAGTTTCTAAACCTTTTCTGTGCTGTCTGCTAGCCTTCGCATGTCGTCTGAGGCTTCTGCAAAACTCCCCCAAAATTCCCATTTAATTTCTTATGCCAACCCGTGATATATCGAATCCAAGATTGGGAAAGTCTAGATGTGGAAGGGATAACTGTGTTACTTAGTCCAGGCTGGAGGGTGGAGTGCTTTGTAAGAAGACTGGTGGGATCTGTAAGGGATCAACCTCTCCCTTTTTCAAGAAGGGAGGAAGGAATTCCCCTTCATTCAAATGTTGCAGGCCTTCTGGTTACTAAGGTTACAAAGCTGGCACAGAGGAGTTGGCCAAAGGATGAACCATGCGCCGGTGGCCTGTGTAAAGTAGGTTATACAGTTATCCCTTCCACATCAAGACTTTCCCCATAAAGGTTTCAACATATCACATATATTGGCATAAGAAATTAAATGGGAATTTTTGGGGAGTTTTGTAGAAGCTGCAGATGACACTGAAAGGCCAGCCAGATGACACAGAATCTATAACCAAATACTTAACCTAAATTTTATAATAAGGTACTGTGAACACCCCATAAAAGAAAAAGAAAAAATTCATACTTCTTCTCTGGGACCATAGCTTTCCAGAGTGGGTGATACTGCCCCCTAGGGGTTCTGGAATGATCAGTATTTTTTTTTTATGACACAAATTTCAAAAAAAAAATTATTAAAGGATTAAAGAAAGTAGATTTCCAGGGGAAGTGCTGAGTAATTTTTTTTAAACGGGACATTAGGCCAAATAAGTTTGGTAACCTCTGTCTGGGATGAAGGGAGGGCCAAAAAATTTTATGAGGATTTTCCAGATTTCAGGGGTGCCATGCTCCTAACTCCTGAGATGTGAGAGAAAGGGAGTCGGGTAACATACCTACCACAATACAACAGAATTAGACCTCTACCAGATGTCAAAATAGTTGAAGTCTTTCACTGATTTTCCAGGTCTGCTTCCTTGGCTAGACAGGCTACAAAGGAATTATTAAATGCTTTCAGAATTAAATCAGTTTCCTCACACCTAAGATCTACAAGGTTTTTCCAGGTCTGCTCCCCTGGCTGCACTGGGAGAGGCCGTTTCAGTGAAGGGCAAGGTGGAGGTAGGAGTGTGCTAGTAAATATTTAACAACCTAGTTTTCTGGTTGGAAGAAAAAAAAAAGTATGCACTCTTAATCTGCATTAATAACACTTTCTTAAGTTTAGGCAATCCAAACCATGAATCAAGCCCTGATTTGTAGTAATTGACAATTTCTGGGGTATAAATGCTCGCACTGAAAATTTAACAACTAGCCTAGTTGGAGGTTTCTCCAGCCCATTCCTGGGTAAAGATAGAACCTTTCTTCTCCAGTAAGGTTATTCAAGCAGCAAAGCTTTTTCCTTCAATCACTTTTTCTAAAGAGAATGGCCATGCAGATTCTGAGGTGTTTCTGGGACCCAACATAGATGAGGTAATAGGGTTCAAAGAACGCGGACCAGTAGTAAAGTGAGTTCTCTAAAGATTAACCAGGAAAGCTTATTCTAATTGCAGCACAGCATGCAAAGCACGGAAGTCCTTAGGGTGAGGAAAGTGGACTTAAACCTATGCCATACCAGTAAACTCGAAGGAGAGTTTTAGCAGCTGGTTCTAACTAAAACTGATGATATTCAAGTCGTAAGTGTAACAGGAGTCAGTCCTGAGAGAATGGGACCCCAGGTTTCTCTGGCTATTCAAAGGTATAATATGACTTTGAGAACCATTTGGTACCTTGGGATTTGTAGTTATTAGGAATAGTCATTGCCCTTTCATCCCTAAGAAGAGATTTGGGACTATTGAGATCTTTGAACCAGACATAGAATTAAGACATACCCTAGAGTTCTTAAAGAGATCTACAGTCTTAGCAAGAAAAGAGATTAAGAGGAAATGATGGAGATCTCAATAGCTTAGCAGCAGTAGTGGCAATGGAGTTAACTTCCCCAGCCTCATGAAGGTCTTAAAGACTTGAGCTGGAAAGAATGGAAGCACTGGGGCAATAGGGAAAAGGAGAAAAAAAAAGTCAGACTGAGATCAGACAGAGAAGAGAGAGATCAAGCAGGGCCCTTGGCCCTAGATGCATCTTGGAGCTGAAGACTCCAGGGGAAATCATCATATTTACCCCCAAAAAAGGCCTACTCTTTTCCTAACTTCCTCTCCCAATGTCTGTTAATTAACAGACACTACGAAATACTCTGCTAATTTCTTTATCCAATCATTTCTGGTAACCCGAATTTTGCCTTAACCATAAAGAAGCTGGAGATGAACAGGGAGCAACTAAGTAGCACAGTGGATAGAGCACCAGGCCTGGACTCAGGAATATGAATTTAGACACGAGCTGTGTGACCCTGGGCAAGTCACTTAACTGTATTTGCCTCTGTTCCTCATCTATAAAATGACAAAGGAAATGGCAAACCATGCCAATATCTTTGCCAAGAAAACCCTGAAAGGAGTCAAGAAGAGTTGGATATGACTGAAAAACAACTAAGAAGATTTAGAGCAGGCAAGGAGCTAGTGCCAGGAGTTTTGTCTCCAGAGAAAAAAATTTTTTGCCTTTGAGTCTTGGACCTTGGACTGCTTGCCCAGTAAGATGAGGAGGAGAGGGGTGCATGTCCTGAAAGGCACTTCCATCCTTAAAAGAGTTCTGATAAAGTATGGGGTTTAAGAGCTGGATAGGCAATTCTAGAGAGCTGTGAGGGAGTAATTAGGGAACTACAGCAGGAAAAGAGAACAGCAAGATTGGTGGGATGCTTTACATGAGCCTTAATCTCCTGGAGGAATGCTCTGATAAGCTGGGGAATGCTTTGGCTCAAGTGGATAATTTTTCCATATGTGAATCCCCCTCCCATGTGACCATTTTTCCATTTTTAGACTTGCAACTTTAGCTAGTCTAGTTTTTCTTCAAGACAAATTGCAGCTATGGGTGTTTTCAATAGTTGGGTTTTTTTTTTTATTTAAGTGAGTAGTTTAGATGAACTTTATGTTGTCTATTTTTAAAAATTTAGATGTAGTAAAAAAAAAAAACCTATATTTTCTAAACCCTGGTTTGAAACCAAGGAACCATCCATCATTCTTCAGCCTCATTTCCCCATTTGATTAGTCGGTAAGTCTTGTCAGTTTCTCCTTCACAATATTTTTCATCTTTCCACTCATTCAAGATCTCCTCATCTCTCATTTAGACAATTGCAACAGACTCCTAATTTCCCCATATTGTATCTTTTTTTTCTAATCCATCCAATACACAGCTACCAAATTAATTTTCCTAAACTGATCAAGTCACTCCTCAGCTCAAGAAACTCCAGTAGCTCCCTATTGCCTGTAGCATAAAATACAAACTCTTCTGCTTAGTATGCAAAGTCCTTCACAATCTGGTTCAAGTTGACCTTTCCAGATTTACTGTATCTTACTCTTCTTCATTCACCCTTTGTTCCAGGTAAACTAATGTACTTGTTGTCCCCTGCAGGGGACACTCCATTTCCCATATCTGTGGCTTGTATCTGGAATGCTTTCTCTCCTAACCTTCATCTTCTGGAAACCCTATTCCTTCAAGGCTCAGTTCTGGTCATCTCCTACAGAAGGTCCATACTGATTCCCCCTCCCCAACCCCAGTAAATAGTGCCCAATTCCCCAGAAAATATTTTGGATGAACTTTGTATATATTTGTCCTTGTACATGTAACCTTGTCCCAGCCCCCCACCTCCCATTAGAATATAAACCTCTTGAGGGCGGGGACTATTTCATTTATGTCTTTGCAACCCCAGGTACCTAGCACTGTGCCTGACCTGTAGCGTGTTCTATTATTGTTGAATGAATGAATGAAATGGCGATCATGGTAGTAGAAAAAGTAGATTAACTGGGAGGCCAGGGTGTTAGAAAGGTCATTAGCATCAATATCAAAGTCACCAAGGATGATGGTAGGGTGATACCTCAGACTATGGAGAGGTAGTCTGGGCTTTAGCCCCTGGATTTGTTTTCAGTTCCCCAACCTTTGAAGCTACAGGAAGGAGAGGAAAACCAAGGGGCAAGAGTGAGAGGTGAGTATGAGTAGTCGAGATAGAAGCAGGACGAGGATCTTTGTTTCCTCCCCCCCATTCAGATAAGACCCCTTCAACTCAGCCCGAGGCAAATCCATTCCGCTGTCAAATTCACTTCTCATCCCCCTTCCAGAAATCCAGACACTGGACGAGTCAGAAACTTCGGTCTCTTTTATTAACCAGGACTTCCAAACCTTAGAACTGCTCACTCACTCCTCCTACCTTATCCCGACTGGCACGCAGTAAGTACTGAATAAAACGCTTGCTGACTGACTAGCAGACTGCCCCCACGATCCGTCCCCTCCTCCTCCTCCGGATCTGTCCTCACTGCTCCCCTTCTGGCCCGAGCAGCATTAGGGGCTGTATATTCTTGCCCTTGTCGTGCCAGCAGACGTCGAAGAAAGGGTAGACGGGGCCAGGCAGACGCTCGTGAAAGGAGTAAAGAGGGACCAGGTTGTCTGGGTCGCTGGAATCGTAGAAGCTGAAGACTCCGTCCTGGAAGCTGAGATAGAGGCCGATCCTCGAGGCTCGCCCATCCACCTTGAGCACCTTGGGCTCCTTGCTCTCCACGTGGGCCTCGTACACCTTTCCTTCTCGCAGCCCCAGCATCCAGAAGCCCTGAGAGGGGATGGGGTGCAGCTTGCCCCGACGGTTGACCTCGGCGGAGATCAGCCCCAGTCCCCAGCGGGGTTTGTCGCCCACCTCCACCTCCCAGTAATGCTCGCCCTCCGACAGCTGCTGCTTGGCTACCAGAGCCACCGCTTTGTCGAACTGCTGCGGGTCATCCCCTGCCGGCGGCGCTTTCTGCTCCACGCACTCCACCCGCCGTCCGGATGGGGATACCAGCAGGCTGGGATGGGCAGTGGCTGGGTCAAAGGTGAGACCTGCCGGGGCTGCAAAGGGAACGAGAAAGAGAGCCGAGTGAGCAGGAGAAAGTCTCTCTGAGCCTCCCCCCAGCTATCCCCTTCCTCTGAGTGTCCAATTTATAAAATGAGTTTGGATTAGTAAGATTCTTTCCAGATCTATGTCCTATGATTTTGTTTTATAGAATCATAGATCTGGAATGTACCTTAGAAATCACTGAAGCCATCCACTTCTCCATCCTACCTGCAACAATCCCTCCTTTACCCCACCCCCCACTTTACCCAAGAAGGTAAATGCAGCTAGTATGGAAACCTGAAGGACAACTATAAAAATCATGAGAGTATTCTGATCTAAGGACCTCTGGGGACAGTGACTGAACCAGAGAAAGATAGTTCCTTCTCCTCCCCCTCCCCCAATAAATGCTTGTTGATTGATTCAGGAGCATCTGAATGTTAATTTTGCTTCAGAAACTTGCTGTGTAACCTAGGGCAAATTACATAAGCTCTATAAACCTTAGCTTCCTGCCTGTTACATGGGGATAATAATAGAACCTACTTCACTGGTTTATTGTGAGGATCAAGTGAAATAGAGACAAGGACCAAACCTATGATTTCATTGATATAACTTATGTTACATTACATTGTTGTATTATATTAAATCATATTATGTTATGTTATATTATTATTATTATTATATTCCCTTATAAGGGAACTCTGAGATGAGGAAACTCCTCTACCAATACAGTTTACCACTTTATCTTCAACTAAATCTTAGAGAGCTGCCTAGATCACTGAGAGATTAAGTGACTTGACTAGAGTCATTCAGTTAGTATGTTTCAGAGGCAGGACTAGAACAGAGGTCTTCCTGGCTTTCAGGTCTGTTCTTTAGACCATGCACAATGACATCTCTCCCAAGCCTGGAGTATTTGCATAAGACCCTCCTCACTGGTGGAGAGAATGCTGACTTGCCACTGAAGAGACCTTCTCCTTCTTTTGTGCTTCAAGAAAGGACACTCATGCTTCCACATTCTCTTTGAAGAGTGGTTGGAGGGTGGAGGGAGGGCAGAAAGAACAAACTCTGGACATCAGAGGCATGTTGAGGACACAGATTTCCCCTATACGTCTGCCTTCCAAAATCTAATTTCTCTCCCCAGAGTCTCTTCCTGAAAAATTCTGGAACCATTGGTGTCCTCTCTCAAAGCAGGAAGGAACAAGGTCTCTCCATATTTAGTCATTTTTTTTAGTTGTGTGATCCCATCTAGAGTTTTCTTGGCAAAGATACTGGAGTGGTCTGCCATTTCCTTCTCCAGCTCATTTTACAGATGAGGAAACTGAGGCAAACAGGGCTAAGTGACTTCCTGACTCCTGGCCTGGCACTCCATCTACTGCACCACCTCACTGCCTTATATAGATAGATCAAGTCTTGGTACCTGAGTTACATAAAATTCTTTGAAAAACTTAAAGTATTGTATAAATATGAGCAATTATTACTATTATCTGTCGCTTTAATTGTTGGAAAATTTTTCCATGTATTGAAATCTAGGAGGAGTATCTGAGTTGGGCATTAGAGGGGTGGATAGGATTATTTTTTAGTGGAAATAGCATGGGCTTATTATAGGTGAAGAACTTTGGTATTTGGGGGATAATAATCGTCCTTGTCATCATCATCATCATCATCATCATCATCATTGATTGCATTTATATAACACTTTAAGGTTTGCAATATGCTTTACATATCTTGTCTCATATGCACCTCACAACAATCCTGGGAGGTAAGGGCTATTTGTTATCTCCATTTTACAGATGAGGAAACTGAGACAGACAGTGGTTAAATGTTGAGCTCAAGGTCATATCTATCAAAACTATGAAGGAAGATTTGAACACAGGTCTTCCTAACTCCAGGTCTAGACCTTTGGCCACTCTACTATCTAGCTGCCCAAAAGATCCGTGAGATCTGTGTGGCTACTCTCTCAAGGATGCTCACCTTTTTTCTTCCATGCCTTGTGGGTTTATGTGATTCTTATCCTTGTTCCCAGTAAATTTCTTTAGAGCAGGGATTTTTAACTTTTTTTTATTGTAGTGAACCCTTTTGGCAGTCTGGAGATGCACTGACTGTTCTCTATGCCTGGAATTCTCTCCCATTTAACTTCCCTGGCTTCCTTTAAGTCCCAGCTAAAATCCCATCTTCTCCAAGAAGCCATTTCCAGATCTCCTTAATGCTAGTGCCTTGCTTCTGTGATCACCTCCAACTTAGCCTGTATATAGCTTCCTTGTGCATAGTTGTTTGTACATTGTACATTTCCCATTATACTGTAAGATTCTTGAGAGCAGGGACTGACTCTTGCCTTTTTATCCACAACACTTAGCATAGTTCCTGGCATATAACAGATGCTTAATAAATGGTTATTATCTGACCTATGGACCTCTTAGGATAAAGCTTTTTAAATGAATAAACAAAATATATAAGATTACAAAGGAAACTTGTTGTATTGAAATAGTTGTAAATTAAAAACAAAAACAAAAATAGTTCACATAACTCCTTGCTCTGGAGGCTTTACTCAATAAACGGGAGGCTTTCTTTTTCTCTTGGTACCTCAGGGATGCCAGTGTGGTTCTCAGGCTGTTGTCTCCCATCCTTAATACATGACCATCCTATCTCCTTTCCAGTCATACACTTTCTTGATAATTTCCCTTCTGTCACTGGAGTTAGAATTAGTAATGTGCTACAGATACTGTTGTGCAACTTGTGTATTTTCATTACCTTTTGGGTTGTTTTTTGGAAATCACAGCATGTTGTGATATGTAATAATGTAGCTTCAGTGGGAGAATGTTGTTGCACAAAAGATAGGTTTTCATAGTTGGGGGCAGTTCAGGACCAATTAAAAGCACTACAAAGTTTCCTCAGTGTGACCCTGCAGTTCTGGGTTGGAATGGACCTGATTCATCATCTATCTGCAGTGTCTAGGATATACAGCTTGATAGATTAATTTGGCCAGCTGCCCCTCCAGTTGCCTGCCATAGTCTAGGCTACACGAGTCTGTCATTCATTTTGTTTTTCTAATTTCTCTGACATTGCTGTAGATTTCACTGAAAAAACTTCTGGGGCAATAAAAGAATAAAAATTTCTTTAATGAATGTGTTTCTTCCTTCTAGACTGGCAGCACAAGGCATCGGGCTCCTGTCAGGATATGGGCATCATAAAAGGGTAAATGGCACAAAAAGAGGAGGGAGCCCTTTGGACAAACTTTGAATATCTTCTTGATTTTACTTGGAACCACCCAGCTAACTTTAGCCCTTGATTCCTGACTGCTTTGTATTTTTTTTTTCCTAATTGCTTTAGGTATAGTCCCCAGACAGACTCTGAGTCCCCAGAAGGTAGTTACCAGGGTTTATCTTCTTATCTTGTTTCTCCTATAGTGTCTAGCACATGACTGGGCACAAGGTAGGGACTCAGTAAAAATTTAGTGACGAATTGGAATGGATTGAGAAGCTGCAGGTAAGAGGTCAGTTTGAAGATTGCACTGGTATCCCTGAAACTAGCCAGTTGTCCATACCTGGCATCAGAGCCCGGAACATCTTCCTCCAGACCTGGAATTTGAAGTCATGAGAGATAATGGGCAACTGGATGTCCAATCTAGCAGCTGGGGGTGACTCTGCCAGGATCTTCTGCAACCTGAGGAGATGCCAAGAGTAGAGGGAAATGGAATGTGCAGAATTGGAGTTTGCAGAGGCTGAGGTAAGGGCCTGAGCTTTCCAGGCATGGAAGGGGAAGGCCAGGGACCAGAAGATAAATGCCACATTTTATTGACATTGTAAGACAAGTAGCAGCATGCATGGGACTGGATACGCTGAGTGCTCCAGAAGCCCAGGTGAGTCAGGACTGGTGGTCTAGGCAATATGATACAAGTGCTATCTAGCAAAAAAGATGCTGGAAAGGGACCCAGGTTTCAGAAGGAATTGTGTCAGGGTAAATTCAGCAGTTGTGAGCTTGCATCTGTGTGTGTGGGAAATGCAAGGAAAATGATGATCCTCCAGGTGAAGGTGTTTATAGACATGTAAAAGTTGAGAAGCTCATACTGAGCAAAAGGTACTCTAAGTATGTTAAGGGTGTTTCAATAAACTTCATCGGAAACTATATATATGAAAGCAGGGAGCCCATCAGTGAGTGATGGAAGGGACTAGACTTTTCAGGAAGAACAACCAGACCTTGCTTGCCCTGGGTAAGTCTCACCTGCTGATCACCAGGCAGTATTTCTAGAGAGAGAGAATGAGAGAAAAGACACAGAAAGGTGAATTAGAAACTAAAAGACAATAGGGAAGGAGCAGGTAAAGGAAGGATCAGCTGATAAGAAGATCTGTAAATACTGCTTTTCTTGCTTCTATCCCCTTATACGTCTGAGAGTCAAAGGTGAGGCAGAAGGGAGCTGGGCCAAGATCAGCAGGGCCCAGGAGAGAGAGAGCCAAAGAGCTTAAGGAAATATGGGAGATCAGGGGCAGCTAGGTGGTGCAGTGTGGGGCAGATAGGTGGTGCAGTGGCTAGGGCACTGGCCCTGAAGTCAGGAGGACCTGAGTTCAAGTCCAGCCTCAGACCAAACATTTGTCACTAGCTGTGTAACCCTGGGCAAGTCACTTAACCCCAATTGCCTTAAAAACAAACAAACAAAAAAGAAAATATGGGAGATCAAAAAGGAATTTATAGGATAATTAGAAGAAATTAGGACAGCTCAGTTGTAGGAGTAACAGTGAGGGACTAGATGGAGTCAGGAAACTTGGGATCAGTCCATTTCTGCAATTTAGTGCCTGGCATGTAGTAACCAATTCATAAATGCTTTTTCCCCATGCATTTATTCACTAGTTATGTGACCATGGCCAAGGCACTTCTCCATTTTGGGTCTCAGTTTCCCTATTTGTAAAATGAGGGAATTGTATTAAATAATGTCTAAGGTCTCTTCCAACTCTAACATTATATAAATCTAGGATATTTTATGATTTTGAGGATCCAGAAGACTGAGGGGTTGGAAAATAGCTTATAAGGGAAGAAGGAGGGGAGGATCTGGGAAGTTTGGGACAGCTCTCACCCTGAGGAATTCCGTTTGGGGCTGATCAGTGACTTCATCCAACACCTTCTCCATCTGCTGAAGCTGATCAAGGTAGGAAGTGACAATTCTGCGTTCAGTCTTCAGGGCTTCCCCTGCCTCTTCGGTCACTCGCTCTGCCTCTTTGCTCAGGGAAGACTCCAGTGCTATCAGAAAGGCCCGTATCACACCAAGCTGCTCCCCCACAGCCCGCTGGAACTGCCGTACTGTCTCCTGGGAGGTGAGGAATGGGGGAGGAGCATTGAGGAGGATGAGGCCCCCAGACTTCAGCTCTCTCCCCCAAATCCCAGGTGTCTAGTACCAGGAGCTCCCTCCAGAATGCAAACCCTTCTCACACTATTTATAGGTATCTGTCCCCCAGCCATTAGCTCACCTCCTTAGATGATTCCCTGGGAACCCCATGTTCTCTAAGCTCTCACTCACCTCCACCTCAGCCAGTTGCCGATCCAACAGGGCTACAGTCTTCTCTTTGCGCATGCAGGCCTCCTGTAGCTGCAGCCTCTGTTGTGGGAGTTGCTTCTGTGGAAAGGGAAGAGAAGTGGAGATGCTCAGGTAAAAGAGAAGTATCAAGATAAGACCAAGGGGAATCACAGGTAATGATGGAGCTACCTCCATTCTCCTTGAAAGGAAGGAGACATATATCCTGCCTTCAGCCCTTGTCCTCTGTTACGCTGCTTCAATGCCTAGCTCAAAGCCCACCTCCTTTGTGAAGCCTTCCTGGTTGGCAGTGATTGTTCGCTTGTGCCTTGTATCTCCATGGCACACGAGAAAGAACTGCAGCTTCGGGGCGGGGGGGGGGGGGGGGAAGGGCGTGCTGAACTAACTTGCCCAGGGACATAAAGCACTTGGATGGACCCAGGTCTTCTCATGCCAAGTCCAGTGCTGTTTTCTCAGCATCAAGCTCAATAACGGAATATGGGGAAATTATGCATTCTGATCACAAGAGGGCGCCCCCCCCATAGGGTTTGGGACCAACTTGAGGATCTGGGAAGGGACCTGAGGGAGGAGACTTTGCCACACAATCTCTCCTCACACATACATACTTATACACTGCTTATATACTTATATAAACCCTTATATACTGCTTCCTGTCTATAACACCCAGCATTTACCTAACACCTCCCTGGTATTGAGAGTTACCCTTGCATAAGTGTCATGGGATCAATTTACTGGAAAGTCATGCCAGGACAGTAAATTTCTGAACCTCCTTATCAGCTCAGTATAGATCAACCAATAGATATCAATTGCTTCCTCATCTTATGCTTGCCCTCCCTTCCCCAAATTGATTCTCATCCTGCCACTCATGCCCAGTCCTATTCACCTCCCAGCCTAACCTTGATAGCTAAAGTAGAAACTGGGAGAAAGTTGGGCAGAGAAGTATGTATGTGTGAGGAGAGAGGTGTGGCAAAATCCGCTCTCTCAGGTCCCCTTCCAGATTCTCAACTTGGTCCCAAACCCTATGGGGGGGGGGGGACGCCGTCTCGTGGTCAGCGTGCATAATTTCCCCATATTCCATTATTAAGTTTGGTGCTGAGGACCTGAGTCCATCCCAGTGCTTTATGTCCCTGGGCAAGTTAGTTCAGCCCCCTGAAGCTGCAGTTCTTCCTCATGTATCGTAGAGACACTATTCACACAAGCTTTTTCACAGAGCTGTTGGGAGGAAAGCGCTTCTGCCAGGTACAACGTATGAAGCTGAGCTAAAATTGGTCCCATCCTTAAATAATATGTATTGAATGCTGGCCATGCACTATGCCTGGTTCTCGTCTATGTTTTGAGGGGCACTATAATGAAAACTAATCCTGTCCTTACCTCTTGAGAGTCAGGGTGTAGTACTGGACTGAGGAGATCAGCCAGTCTAGAAGCTCAGACTATGTGTGGGATACTGTGCTAAGTGCTAAAACATACCAAAAAGCAAAAACAAAACATGCAAAGAAAGGCAAAAGATAGTCCTTGCTCACAGAGCGTTCACAGTCGAAAGGACTCCAGGATGTCGAATTTAGAGCCAGAGGACCTGCTGCCACTTACTCTGTGTGCCCTGAGGCACACACAGTTTCCTCATCTGCTGGACTAGACTCTGGGGTCCCTTCCATTTCTAAATCTTTGATCCTAAGGTTCCCACTTCCAGGTGGCTCCTGGACTTAACCTTGAGCAGAGGAGGAGACAGCTAGATCGAGACGGGGAAAGGAAAGAGGCGCGAGAGTAGGTAAACCCTCCCACTCTCCCAGGAGTGTCCGGAAGCCAACTCGTCCAGAACCCCATTTTAGAAATCTCCTGATCCCTTCATCCCCTAGACCTCGGCATCCTCCCCCGGGAACTTCCTCTTTCACGCTGACGTTGTCTTCTTCTCACTCCTCCTCTTCCTCCTCCTCCTAGTTTCCCGGTCCTGGGGTGCCTGTCCCGTGCACAGCAGGCAAGATTGCAGACTGACTGTCTGACCACAAAGTCTGGGGAGCCATGCCTGGAGGCCGGGACCTCATCCTGACGGCTTTGGACAACCTGACCGAAGATGAGTTCAAGAGGTTCAAAAGCAAATTGCTGACAGTGCCCCTGCGGGACGGCTTCAACCGCATCCCCCGGGGGATCTTGCACGACTTGGACCGCTTGGACCTCACCGACAGGATCATCAGTTATTACCTAGAGGACTACGGGACAGAGCTGACTGTGCAGGTGCTCCTGGACATCGGCATGCGGGAGGAGGCTGTGAGACTCCAGCAAGCAGCATGATCTGGTGACGCTCCGGACCCAGGGCCTCCGTCTGTTCCCCATGCCCCTTATTCTTTTTGTGTCTGAGAACTGAGACCTTAACCTTGACCCATCCCGTACCTTCCTCCTAACTAGAACCTGTGTCCTGACCCCAGCTTCCTGCCCCCAACCGCCTGGCCCCCGCAGTTACACTCCATTTCTGTCTCTCAAACCGTCCCCTAACACACCCAACTTGGCTAGACAAGCAGTGCAGCCAGCTGGGAGAAGTCTTCTAAGACCCAGAAGGAATTCCATCTTGAGGGGACTGAAGGATAAAGAGTCACCTCCTTCACATTCCCCTCTCTCATTACAGCCTGAGGCTCAGCACTGACCGAGAGGAGCACTTCTGGGAAACTCCCATCAAGTAAGTGATGGGAAAAGTGGTGTGAAAAGTGCCTACTGAGTTCCGCGGGGCATAATGTGGGAGATAGGAGAAGAGGAAGATCAGTCTGGCACTTTTTGGCGCTCACAATAAGAGCTGAGACATCTAGGCGGAGAATGATGCCAAGGTGGCGCATTGGCATTTGTGTGATATTGGAAGGTGGGCTGTACTGGCCCGTGATGAGGTGATTCAGAACTGGAGGGAACAGTTCGGCTGATTAGCTGGATCCAATTAGGGAAGGTTCCTCGGGGAGGCAAAGCTGGGGCTAAGCTGCATGCATGTTGGGAGAATACCAGGCACATGGCACTTCCCTGAGCCTGATCTTACTGGAAGAGGAAGTTTCTTTGGGAGGAGTGGTATGTGGAACATACCTTAATAATGAATGATAATAACCACTCCCATTTATATAGCACTTCAAGTCTGAAAAACACCCCACTCACAACAATACCATGAGTTGGGTAGTGCAACTGTTATCTCCATTTTATAGATAAAGAAACTGAGGCTTAAGGCACACAGCTAGTGAGGATCTGAGGCAATATTTGAACCCAGGTTGTCCCATGCTCTGTCTACTCTATTTGCTGCCATGGGAGGGCAGGGGCAGAGTATGGAAGGCTTTGAAGGCCAGCCTGAATAAGCACTTTAGACTTTATTCTGGAGACAGTGGGGAGCCCTTAAAGGTTTTTAAACAGGAAGTGCTATGTTGGCTCAAGGGGGAGGGGGAAGGGAAGGAGGGGAGCAGAATTTTGCAGATGGAGAACCCAGCGGAGACTTTTGCCATAGTTTAGGCAGGAGGTGATGAGGATTAGTGCTAAGGTAGTGGTGGTGAGCATGGAGAGAAGCGGACAGATGTAATATGGAAATAGAATCAACAAGAATTGGTAACAGACAAGATGGAAAGAATTATCTCTCCTAGTCAAAGACTCCAAGGGATAGAGAAACAAGAAAATATCCCCACTTTTTGTGTGACAGTCAGCATTCTATTCTTAGTTTATTAATTTATTTATTTTTAGTTTTCAACACTCATTTCCGAAAGATTTTGAATTCCAAATTTTCTCCCATCTTACCCCTTCCCCCACCCTAAGACAGCTTGCATTCTGAGTACCCCTTCCCCTAATCTTCCCTCCCTTCTATCATCCCCCTGCTCTTTTATTCCTTTCCCCCCTGTTTCGCTTTAGAGTAAGATGGATTTCCACACCCAGTTGAGTGTGTATGTTATTCCCTCCTTAAACCTAGTCCAATGAGAATAAGATTCACTCATTCCCTCTCACCAGCATTCTATTCTGTTACTGCTTCCCCAACTATCTACCTTCTCACCTGGTCTCTCTTATTTCCCCTTTCCCCCCAGGACTATATACATCATGGACCAGGGCTGATTGAACTTATCATTGGACTCATGGAAGTAGGCAAATGAATCCTAATTGAAGACATCACCAAGCCTAATTTGAAGAAGTTCTTCAGTTTTATGGAGGCATGGGGCTTCATCTGCCAGAACCCAGGGCAGTCTTTCTATCACTGAAACTAAGGGACCTCTTACTGTTCCCTGACCCTCCTCTGGCTCCATCTCTTCCCACAAAGTCAACTTCTGTGCCAAGCATCTGGCCTGTCCCCCAACCTCACCCACTTGTACCTATATTTTAATATATTCAAATTCACTAAAATCTGACTGCCTCAGTGCTTATTTACAGATATATTCACATATAGTTGACGTGAGTATATCTCATCGTTTGCATTTATGTGTGTACACAGCATGTGGACTACACAGGGACACTTTTTTTTTTAGGCAATTGGGGTTAAGTGACTTGCCCAGGGTCACACAGCTAGTAAGTGACAAGTGTTTGGTCTGAAGCTGGATTTGAACTCAGGTCCTCCTGACTTCAGGGCCGGTGCTCCATCCACTGTGCCACCTAGCTGCCCCCCTCCTTTTTTTTCGGACAAAGATAAGGTTTATTAGAACATCCATCATATTGGGCAGACTTTTAAGGAGTCTGAACATCAGTGAACTATTGGCTAGATTATAAGAATCTAAGCAGTGGCTAGATTTTAAGAATCTAAGCCTTTGACTAGATTATAAGAATCTAAGCACATAGGGATACATTCTTGCATGTGTATGTGCTATCCCCTCCTCATCTATGAGGGTGCATTATCTCTGCTGTGCCTGCCCTACCATAGCATACAGGTTTAACCAGAAAACATCTTCCTATGTATATGATCCCAAGATATGCTTCTTTGAAAATGTGCCAAGGTTGACACCTGGAGCCTCACCCCTTTGCCCCTTCCACCTACACCCAACCCCACCTTCCAACAGCCATGCCTCTGACATGAATTCTCCAGCCCCCAACACATTCCTCTCTCCATAGAAAACTTCTGTTTGTGTATGTATGGAGGCAGAGAATTTAAATTTAGCACAGAGACTCCTTGATAAAGTTGACTTTTCCTAAACCCAGCTTGAAGCACAACTCTGACTAGAAGAGGAGAGAGGAAGCACTTTACGGTTATCTGCACCAGGAGAGACTTCAGAGATTTTTAAAGTGTTTCCCCTCTGCCATGAAGGACATGGGGGAGGAGGAAGGCATAATTCAGGGTTTTCCTGGGGTTCACAATAAGAGCTCAGACACAGAGAAATTCTTGTGCCAAGTCAAACTCTCTCAACCTCTTAAAACTTTTTGCCCAGGATTTTCTACCTAACATTCTTCCCCTTTTCCCTTCCTATTCCACCGAGAAGAACACTCTCAATTTGTCCCTAGTACTACATTCCTTTTTGTAAGTTGAGGAATATATAAGTTTTATTGAACTAAGTAATTTGAGGGATTTTGTTCAGTTGTTTCAGTCTTGTCCAACTCTTCATGACCCCATTTTTGGGTTTTCTTGGCAAAGATACTGGCGTGGTTTGTCATTTCCTTCTCCAGCTCATTTTATAGATGAGGAAACTGAGGCAAACACAGTGAAGTGACTTGCCCAGAGTCACACAGCTAGTAAGTGTCTAAAGCTGGATTTGAACTCAGGTCTTTCTGACTTCAGGTCTGTTGCTCTATCCACTGTGATACCAGTTGCCCAAGTATTTTGAGGAATACATAAGCTCTGTTCCTCAAACTCAGATACAAAACTACTTCTTAATAAGCTGGCAATTCCTATGGCATTTACCCAAATGCCCAACTTCTTATAATTGCCACAATGGCCCTGACGTTGAATCCCAGTGCTTATGCTGTCAGACTCTTTTCTCTTTTCTCTAACTTTGACCATAGCTCCATCTTCTACCCCCCTCTCTAATCAGAACCCTATTCTTGTTCAAGTCATTTCCTGGTCTCCAACAAGGATAGGTCTTGTGATTCATTGGGGTTAGGAGTGGGGGAGGGTAAAAAGGTAAAATACTTTACCCCAAATCCTGAAGGTTAGTCAGATACTCAGACCCTGTTCTCTATTATGCTCTCTGACCTTGTCATCTTCCCAACACACTCTCTATTCTCCCCCCATCTCCAGGTCAGCCCTTGGGCAATGTCTCCAAGCTCAAACCCCAGCCACCCTCCCAAAATGAAAACTGCCCCCTAGATTCCAGGACCTGCTGGCAAATATGCCACATCCAAAGGCCTGTGGGAATACTCCCCTGTGTACCCACTCCAAAGTCCCTAGGGCAAATACTTCCCTCTGGACCAACCCTAAGGTGGTAGGAGAAGGGCAGGGCTAGGGATGGGATCTTGGGCCAGAGCCCTCACTGGAACCAGTTACCTTCATCCTCTGGTGGGCCTCAGCAGCAGTGACCACACTGTGACCTCGGTGCTTGCCCAGAGAGGCACACACTCCGCATATCAGTGCCCGGTCCTGCTCACAGTAGACACTCAGGGGGTCTAGATGTTCCTCACAATGGCCCTGTGGCACCTGAGCCAGGCTCTCCACTAACCGTGCCAGCTGTTGGTTGGTACTGAGCCCATCGGGTTTTGTGGGTGCCTGGCAGGAAGGGCAGAGCACAGTCCCAGCCTGAGGATCCGGAACCAGGCGAAGCAGGCAATTGCGGCAGAAGCTGTGGCCACACTCAGCTGTGATGGGTGCATCAAAGAGCTTGAGGCAGAGCGGGCAGGACAGATCCTGGTACATGCCCTGCATCAGGGCAGGAGCACCCGACATGATGGGACCTGGGGGCAGGTAAAGAAGGAAAGGGTCAGAGGTGCTTCTTGAGACACCCACCAGCATTTTTTGAGTAACCAATTAAGACCCAAGCATCCTTATCTTCCAGTTCAGACCCAGACAGCCCCATCTTGCCCCCTCTCCCTTTTAATCAGTGGATAAAACACTGGGTCTAGATCCAGGAAGAACTGAGTTCAAATCTGCATACAGTGTGATCCTGAGCAAGTCACTTAACTTCTTCCTCAGTTTCCTCAACTGTAAAATGGGGATAATAATAGCATTAACCTCCCAGAGTTGTTGTGAAGATCAAATGAGATATTTGTAAAGCACCTAGCACAGTGTGTAAGCCACGGCAGTGGCTTAATAAATGCCCGTTTCCTTCTTTCCTTTCTATACTCCCATCTCCTCAGCTCAGACTGGTGTATACTCATTCCCCCATCCTATATTCAGGTGTTCTATCCCTCCAGCTAGGACCTAGGTGTTCCCACAACTTAGAGTCAGGCAGTTCTGTTTTTCTAGCTCAGATCCCAGCAATGAGATCATATCAGTTTAGAATATCAGTGTTTCCCCAGCATGGATCTAGAAATCCCCATCCCCCATCAAAGGATGAGGCCAGAAGCTGAGCCAAGTTCTATAAATAGGCCTAACAGATGCATAAACCAGTGAGTGTCACCACAACCCAAGGAGGGAGAAAGCCAGTGCCACAGGCCTCCACCCCAGAGGACTCAGCTCAGAATCAGATCCTACTTCTTCCATCCCATGAAAGAACCCAATCTTCCTGCTCTCCTCTCTGCCTTCCTCTCTACTACCCCAAGGCCCATGATTATAGACTTCTTACTCTGGCTATCTACCCTTCCCCAAAAACCCAGGGCCCCCTGTAAACTATACTTGGTTCGGTAGCCTCTTCCAATCTTAAGGACCTCTTTCATTTATAGACAATGAGTGACTCCTTCCATAACCCCACCCCATAGATCCCAGAATTCTCGACCATCCCATCCTCAGCCCCTGCTTCCTTCAGTCTTCAAAGCTCTTACTTCCTCCCTCTTTCCTCTTTCTCAAAACTCAGGCTTTCTACTCCCTAGTCCTTCCCTCTCTATTCCCTCCCGTTCCAAAAAGTAGATTCCTTCCTTCTCTATTCTGACCTCTTACTCTCTCCCCTTACCCCCCCGCCCCGGAATAGAATGAGAGAATGTCTTACCAAGATTTGGGGTCTCTGCCAGAGGTCAAAGTTGTTAGGTAGAGTTGAGAAAGGGAACTCAAGAGCTTGGAGTAGTGACCCAGTGTGAGTGTCCAGCCCAAGTCCTCTCTGACTTTGCTGGAACCCAGAGTGATATTTATATATCTTGGCGTGCTACATCTCATCAGTTCAAATAATTCTAAATTTGGGTTGTGATGGGGGCCTGGAGGAGGGGCATCACATGTCAGAGCCACCTGTCAGGCCCGAAGAATTCTCCTGGAATTAGCTATCTCCCCTCTCTACCCCCCTCCCAACTCTCAGACTAGCCCAGACGCCGGCACGGTCCAGAGTCCACGCTCACCCAAAGCTCAGTCCATTGCAGAGCCAAGCCTAACCCAGAGTTCAGCTAATTATTCACAGCTCAGCCCAGTCTAGCGTCCTTAGACTCCAGCCCAGAATACAACCTAGATCCCAGCTGTCTCACTAATCACAGAATCTGAATTGGAAGGGACCTCAGACGCCATCAGTGCAGCCCGTACCTGAGCAAGGACTCCTTCTACAGCAAACACAACAAATAGTTATCTAGTCTCTTCTTAAAGACCGTCCATGTATCTAATTTTTTTTTAATTTAATTTTTATTTTTCAGTTCCAAATTCTCTCCCTTCTGCCTCTTCCTCTCCCACCCCCTCCCACTAGAGGCAGTTAAATGGTACAGTGAATAGCGCTATAGGCCTGGAGTCAGTCCAGATCTGACCTCAGACACTTGCTAGCTGTGTGATCCTGAGCAAGTTACTTAATGTTTGTTTGCCTCAGTTTCCTCAACAGCAAAACAGGGATCATACCTCCTAGGGTATGAGGATCAAATGAGATAATATTTGCAAAGTGCATAGCACAGTACCTGGCACATTTTGTCGTTGTTCAATCATTTTTTCAGTCGTGTCTGACTCTTTGTGACCCCACTTGGCAAAGATACGGGAGTGGTTTGCCATTTTCTTCTCCAGATCATTTTACAGATGGGGAAACTGAGCTAAACAGGTACAGTGACTTGCCTAGGGTCACACAGCTAATTAAGTGTCTGAGTCTAGATTTGAACTTAGCAAGATGAGTCTTCCTGACTCCAGGCCCCAGAGCTTTATCCACTGCATCACCTAACTGCCCAACCTAGCTTAATAAATGCCTGTTCGCTTCCCATGGAGAAAGCAATAAAAACAGAACAAATATTTATGGTCAAGCAAAATAAATGGCCATATTAGCCATGTTAAATATATACATACATATATAACATATATACATACACACATATGTATGCCTCATCTCTGCTTTGAATTCATCCCCTCTCTAAATGGAGGTGAATGATCCTTCCATGTAACTTGTATGGTACACAGTGGTTTACATGTCATCTCCCCCGTCAGAGTGTGAGCTCCTTGGGAGGAAGGACTGATTGTATTTTTACTTTTCTTTGTCTCTCCAGTGCTTAGCTTCACACACATAGGAAGCACTTGATAAAAAATGTGAGAATCCACCATCACCAAAGCATGCCATCCCACATTTGGATAGATTTAATTGGCAGGAAGTTTTTATTTATTGCAAGGCTAAACTTGCCTGTTGGTAGCTATCATCTGTTGTGCTTAAGCCATGATTCTACTTGGAATCATTTCAGGACAAAAATAACTTTTACTGCATACACACACACACACACACACACACACACTCATACAAAGGTTAAAGAAAAGTAAAATGAATTAAACAGATGAACTCTTCAGGGCTTAGGTTACAAATAGGGCATTCAATAATATTTCTCTTCATACCTATTCTATCTCCTTCTGCCTTGTAACCCTTTCTCTGTCTCCTTTTAAGACTTTCCCTTAAACCTTTTACCTAAAAGAGACCCGTGGGGTCAAAGGATTCCTTCAGACCTTCAAATCAACAGAGGAACAAATATGTAACAGCTTCTGCCCTATTCCAGAAAAAGAAAAACACAGATTTATCAAGGCATTCTCTCACAGGGAGAATCAAAGGTTAACCCTGAGAAGAGGACAGTATGGTTGGCTGGAAGATTAGTGGGAATGGTCTAGGGAGATGGCTTGTCTCTGAGTCAAAGCAGGTTATCCCTGCCCTGTTCTTTGCTCTTCTCTGCCTGGGATAGGGTGACCACCTGTGGGTGGTTTCCTCACTTCTTTCTAAGGACCATTCATAGGTCCTCCTTCATCGAGGAGGTGGCAATCAGTCAATAATCATTTATAAACTGCTTACTATATACCAGGCACTGTGCTGAGCGCTAGACATACAAAGAATGCCAGAAATATGGTGTCTGCTCTCAAGCTCAAATGCAAAAAACAAAAACAAAAACAAAAACAAAAACAAAAAAATAGGAGTAAAAGATACATACAGCACAGGTGAAAAGTAATCTCAGAAGGAAGGTGTGTAGCATTGGTGGTGAGGAAAGGAGGAAGAGAGACTGGGAAAGGCCTCTTGCAGACAGTGGAGTTTGAGCTAAATTTTGAAGGAAGCCAGGGAAGCTAGGAAGCTGAGGTAAGGAGATGTACAACAAAAAGCCTGAGATGGAAATTAGGAGAGCTGGGGTCTAATCCCAACTTTACCACTTACCTTAGGACAAATAATTTTCCCTTTCTAAGAGTCAGGCCTTAGACCTTGAAATGGGTGAATGTCTCAGAAATTCCAGCTCCTTCTTAGATATAGGGGGCCTGATCCTTTGGCCCTAGTCTTTCACCTTTCACTACTTCACAGTACAGTGGAGAAAGTACTCTATTATTAGTAAGAGAACCAGAGTGTAGATCTTGATTCTGCTACTTACTACCTGTGAAACCTTCAGGTCTCAAGTCCTCAACCATAAATTGAGGGGGTTGGATTAGATGACCCCTAAGGCCCCTTCTAGCTCAGAGTCAGTGGTCTATTTCTATGACATTCTAAGCTTTCCCTGTTTACCAAGCCTGTCCTCAAGGCCTTGGTCTCTAAGCCTGGTCAACTCCCTGAGAGCAAAGATGTAAGGCATTCCACCTGGTAGGTGCTAGACGGTACAGTAGATAGAGCATGGAGCTCACAGGAAGATCTAAGTTCAAATCCTGCCTTAGACACTAGCTGTATAACCTAGGGCAAGTCACTTAACCTTCCTCATCTGTAAAATGAGGGGGTTAGCTTCTAAAGTCCCTTGTGGCTCTAAATTTATGAACCTTCTACCAATGCCTCTATAACTGGATCCTATCATGGAATCTGCTCTTTCCCTTCTACCTCTTGCTGCCGCTTACTCCAAATGACAAAAGTGAATTTTCTAGGGTTTCTTCACAAGGAAAAAAACCATACACACACACACACACAAAATACATATGTATTATGTATACATATACACCCATGTGTATGTATTATGTGTGTATATATACATGTGTGTGTGCATGCAGAAATCAAATGTACCAGAGAAAAGCAATTAGAAGAAATCCTACCAGTTCCAGACTGTCTAAGCTACTCTGCTTAGCAGCAGCTCTCCAGGCTTGACTTGACCTGTGACATTTTCTCAGTATCACACCACAACACCTAAATCCTTTCTGGTCCTATAAGGAGATAAAGTCTTCTACCTCCAAAACACGCTGACTTGGAATTCCCTTTCCCCGGGTGTTCTAAACCCAACTCATTCCTGTGTTCTACTAACTCTTTACAATTTAGGAGGCCATTTCACATGTAGTCATCCCTTTGATTCTCACAACCCCCATATAGGCCAGGCAGTTTCTATCCCAGAATCAACTCTCATACAAATGGGAAATCCCTTGATTGCTTGCCAAGGTTTTTGCATTCTGATCTAACAATAGCTATCTATTTCTCTTTCCCCTACTAAGGGAAAGAAATCATAATAATTCCAACCATAGGCAATTCCCAAATTTCAC